CTAGCCTTGAAGATCGGGTGCTTCGTGCTCAATTTTCTTCATATATATTTCTCATGATGAATAATAGAAGCTAGTACGGACGAATAAGTTGCCAGAACACCCCGAGGATAGTACAAATATCCACTTACGAGCTGCTTCCAGTAGTCAATCGTCATCTTTCCCATTATTTCAGTAGGAAAGTGAGGTGGAAACACGCCAAACCTCTCGCTCTTGAACGGCAAGCCTGCTGTCATCCGACCGCATAGTTGGTCAACAACTTCTCCAAAGTGTATGTACCGATTCTTTAGTTTGCCTAAGCTCTGGCCAATCCCCAGATCAACTGAAACAGGAGTGGGTCCGTTAACTTGTCCAAGAGCATAAGGGCTGCTGCTTTTACGTAGGCTTCGAGTGCCGATATACTCTGGAATGCAACCTAAAATGCATCTCTCTTCTTCACTCATTGGGTTGATAATTCGCCGTAGTGCACGTCCAAACGATTCTTATTATTACTCCCAACACAGAGGTGTTGTTTACCTCCAATTGAGCGTTCAGGACATCAGAAGAGATGGACTGCTAGAGCAAGTATAACCCACTACGACGGTTCATATGGATTGACATAGACATGCTTTCCTAACTTCTCCGCGCCAGTCTGATCACCTTTATGGCATTGTTTTACTGCAAAAAGACAATCATCACTCCATTTAAAATGCTGTAGCACAATCGTATCAATTGAGTCAGATCGACTCATGAGATTCCACATTAAAGAAAAATAGATCCATCCGAGTAACACTGTAGCCCAAGATTGGCCCTTCTTCACTGGTGATAATCTCATTAACTTTAACGCAAGGAGCTCGAATCAATTAGCTTTTAATTGCTTTCCCTCGTTGATCTCCATGGGTCCACGCTTCTTCAAACAGTTAATTGCTTTTCGTAGGCGTCGATGACGCGGCGCAACTCACCATCGAGTTGCGAGTATAGCTCTTGTTTATTTGCACGGCATGCACCCACAAGTGCATTTCGATATCCCCACACGCAAGAAGGTGCGAGTGGGGTACTTGATGCATCGTTTGCTTGTTTGCCTTCTATGTGACATGTGTGGTGAAGCAACAGTTGATTTCTGGGAGCAAGGGACTGCTTGACGGGAATTGACTCGATCCAGTCTCGGGGCTCGTCGTTGACGACGGTGCATCAAGTGATTACGCCATCATCTGCGAAGATTGCGTAATCGTCTGAGTTGATCGATATGATGCAATCATTCCGATACACGATTTACCACCCAAGGATTCCGGTACGCGATCTACTGTTGACGCACCAACGGATTTGTACCCATGGTAAGTACCACGCGACCAGGCTACAGAGGGATAGTATGAGCATTTATGGGATGGGCAGAAGGTAGTGGACCGCCAAGACTTAAAGGAATAAC